CTCACCCTCTCCCTTTATCAGTCTCTCCCATTCTCCCTCTGTCTCACCGCCATTCTCTCTCTCTCTCTCCCGATCTCCCTCCCCCTCTATCGCTCTCCTGCTCTCCCTCTGTCGCCCCCACTTTCTCCCGTTCTCGCCCCCCTCAGTCTTGCTCTCCCTTTGTGGCGCCCTCACCCTCTCTCTTTATCAGTCTCTCCCATTCTCCCTCTGTCTCGCCACCATTCTCTCTCTCTCTCTCTCCCGATCTCCCTCCCCCTCTATCGCTCTCCTGCTCTCCCTCTCTTCTGTTCTCCCTCCTCACTCTCACTCTATAACTCTCTCCCGTTCTCCCTCTGTCTTGCCCCCATTCTCTCTCTCTCTCTCCCAGTCTCCCTCCCCATCTATCGCTCTCCTGCTCTCCCTTTGTCTCGTTCTCCCTCTACCTGTAAATTTTTAGGTAGCATTGTGCTTTTTTCACTTCTATTCCTGACTCAATTTATACCAAGTGAAGGCCCATCTTAACCGGAGGCCTTCCCTAACCGGAGGAAATTATCGTTTTGAACACTTGTGCCACTAATAGGTATTTGACAATCTCTTTGTATGATATTTTAATTTGTTATAGTCAATCAAAAAGTCATTTCAAATAAATTTGATTTTTGGTTCTCTTTACATTTCTATCACAGTAAATAGGCTGTCGTTTTTATATTGAATAATCTATTTTTTCTCTTTTCAAATACATATATCAGGAAATGGTTAAAACGGGTGATGATGCTGCAATAGAGCCCTATATTGGCCCTCTTCTAAGGCAACGGTATAGCAAAGTATTTATACCCTTAACAAATTTTTTTATATAAAAACGACAACCTATTTACTGTGATAGAAATGTAAAGAGAACCAAAAATCAAATTTATTTGAAAAGACTTTTTGATTGACTATAACAAATTAAAATATCATACAAAGAGATTGTCAAATACCTGTTAGTGGCACAAGTGTTCAAAACGATAATTTCCTCCGGTTAGGGAAGGCCTCCAGTTAAGATGGGCCTTCACTTGGTATAAATTGAGACAGGAATAGAAGTGAAAAAAGCATAATGCTACCTAAAAATTTACAGGTAGAGGGATAACGAAACAGAGGGAGAGCAGGAGGGCGATAGATGGGGAGGGAGACTAGGAGAGAGAGAGAGAGAATGGGGGCAAGACAGAGGGAGAACGGGAGAGGGTTATAGAGTGAGAGCGAGGAGGGAGAACAGAAGAGAGAGAGAACGAGACAGAGGGAGAGCAGGAGAGCGATAGAGGGGGAGGGAGATTGGGAGAGAGAGAGAGAGAGAATGGGGGCAAGACAGAGGGAGAACGGGAGAGGGTTATAGAGTAAGAGCGAGGAGGGAGAACAGAAGAGAGGGAGAACGAGACAGAGGGAGAGCAGGAGAGCGATAGAGGGGGAGGGAGACCGGGAGAGAGAGAGAGAGAGAATGGCGGCGAGACAGAGGGAGAATGGGAGAGACTGATAAAGGGAGAGGGTGAGGGCGCCACAAAGGGAGAGCAAGACTGAGGGGGGTGAGAACGGGAGAAAGTGGGGGCGACAGAGGGAGAGCAGGAGAGCGATAGAGGGGGAGGGAGACCGGGAGAGAGAGAGAGAATGGCGGCGAGACAGAGGGAGAACGGGAAAGACTGATAAAGGGAGAGGGTGAGGGCACCACAAAGGGAGAGCAAGACTGAGGGGTGCGAGAACGGGAGAAAGTGGGGTCGACAGAGGGAGAGGGAGAACGAGACAGAGAGAGAGCAGGAGAGCGATAGAGGGGGAGGGAGACCGGGAGAGAGAGAGAGAGAGAGAGAATGGGGGCGAGACAGAGGGAGAACGGGAGAGAGTTATAGAGTGAGAACGAGGAGGGAGAACAAGAGAGAGGGAGAGCAACCGAAATTCAGTCGTCTGCAGTCGAAGAGAAGAGAGTTGCGAGTGTGAGAGAACGAAAGAGAGAGAACAGGGAGGGCGGGAGAGAAAAATGGTTGTGGGCCCTAACAGGGTCATTTTAGTCTTTGCAATTTAATGGTAAATTTCAAAATAAAATTTTAAATAAATGTTATTGTGACATGTAATCCGAGTTGGATTGCCACGTCACATGAAAAGCTTGGGTAGAAGTGTGATGCTTACATGGCATGGGAATCGGTCTTATAATTTCAAAAGTTGAATTAAAGAGTAATTGTAAATTCTGTATGAACTGACCTGGTGTTCAGATTTCTACAATGGGCCTGCTCGTACTTTTCCAAAAAAGAAACCGCTTACATGATTCACATCAGATCTCATGTTCTGGTTCTTAATTGGCAGGAGCTCCTGACCTGGTTGTAGAGACAAACTGAGTTGTTTTCTTTGACCCAATTCTAATGTAATTGTTGGCCCGGTCCCCAACTAACTCATAAAATAATCTGGCTTTATGTTTGATGGATATCTTTCATGAGAGAGAGAGACAGAGAGATGCACTAGTTTATGCAGAGAGAAGGAAAAAAAATCAACCATAATCTAATCGAATCCTAATTTACATTATTATAATCCTAATTTGTTTGCATCTGATAGAATAATAGAATTTACCTGGAGCTTTCCAATCAACCATAATCTAAACGAGGCTATGCAGAGTGCATGAGACCCAGATTTGATTAACAATGCTCAGTACAATCAAAATGCAGAGTGTCTAACAGGAAATCCGGGGCAAGTCTCCAAGTATACATTCTGGAAATAAATAAAGCCTTTTTAGCAAGAATGTGAGCAGATTTGTTACACTGTTTAGGAACCCGACTGAGCAATGTGGGAGACGATTCATGATGAGTTTGCAATCTGCAATAATAGAACCTATGCGCCATGGAGGGTCATAATTCTCCTCCAACAAAGCTCTTGAGATTACCACTTGACAGTAGTCTCCCTCAATAACGACGGAAGAAACTATGGTGTTTGGAAATGGTGCAAATAAGTGAGAATGCGAATATCTAGTGTAAAAGGGTCCATATAAATTGTAAAATTGTGTTAGTTTTGTACTGACAAATTTATCTTCTTACCAAGCAGACTTTTAGCTGTAATGGATGCAAACATGAATTCCAATAAAGTGTTAGTTTTTTTTTTTTTTTTTTTTTTTTTTTTTTTTTTTTTATCAAAAGCCCACTTGAATGCAAATTTACTGCTTTTTTATTGGTGTACTTTTACATCTTATTATAAATGTAAATATGCATTGGAAAATATATTTTCTGTCATTTGTCAATGCATAAATGCAATATTGCCAAACACAAGACAAAAGTGAACTATAATGCATAAATGCAATATTACCAAGCAGACTTTAGGGTCATTTTTTGGTACGTTGTGCCAAATAAGGCTACTTGAACATCCTTGAATAATTCGATCCTAAGCCCATCTTGAGCTTGTTGGGTTGGACAGATCAGTTTTACCTTAGGCTTGGGTCCAAGACCTTAAACCAGGATAATCCCGCCCAAGTTGCACCCCGTAGTCCTTAGAGGCATAATACTAGTAGGCAGCCCAATATGTAGTTCTAAAAAAGACAAAAATACCTTTACATTGTCATTATCTTAATCATTTCTTAAAGCTGTATTTGGTTGCAGTGCAATTTTATTTGTATTAGTACAAATGCAAGGGGTGTAAATGAAAAAAATGCAAATTTTTGTTTAATTTTGTTTTGGGTTTTATTTTATTTTACTTCATGCCTTAATTTATTTCATTTGTACTGCAATCAAACAAAATAAACTAAAATTTTAAACAAAAATTAGGCAGAATTTACACTCAAATCATTTGAACTGTCATAATTTTGCATCAGTGCAAATTTATTTGCATTGTAACTCAACACAGCCTAAGGAATTAAAATGGAGCTTAGCCAAATAGGGAGGGACTCCTAGTGGAGTGGACACCTGCTCACAAGAACTCTGCCCATATTTACGGGAGCCACACATGGAGAACATCTCATCCTCTACATAGTATTATGCAGGGGAGATATTCCCAATTCACGGGATAGTGTATTGTGGGTAGGCGTGGGCAGGTGATCCGGACTCCTCCTTGGTGAATGAATACAACACGACACGGTTCTTTTATTCAGAAAATTAAAAACAAATAACACACAAGCTCCAAGACCTGATAAAAACCTTATGAAGATTGATCAACAAACATCTGCCTTCGACGTCTGAAAAACGCCAACATTTTGTCACGATCAGGAAGGTTCTCTTTGATGGCAGGAACTTGCTTAAAGTTCTCCTTCCATGAACACAGGCGAGGGAAGCTCTGGGCTTCTACCAACTTCACTCCTATCGCCTCTTCCATTACTTCCAGCCAATGTGCAATCCATCCAAATCCTATATCTGCTAATCCAATGCTGTCTCCACCAAAGAATTTCTTCTCTCCTAGGCCGTGCTCTTCAATGGTTCTCAACACTTGCAGAGCCTCTTCCACAGCTTTCTCATGTTCTTCCCCAACCGCCTGAAGGAATGCACGGAATATGGGTCCCTACATGAAACAATAGAATCGTCACCAACTATGGAGCTACAGTTCAATTGATAACTTGATATGGAAATGAGAACAGACAATTAACTACTCATGTATCAATCACCTTATCTTCTCCAAATTTAGTCCAAAACCGAGCCATGGCTCTCTCATAAGGATCTTCTGGCAGCAATGGATGACCCGGCCAGGTCTGCTCAATGTATTCGACGATGACCATGGACTCTGCAAGGGGTTTTCCATGGTGAACAAGAACTGGGATCTTCTTGTGGACTGGGTTGTACTGTAAGAGCGAAGGACTCTTGTTGAAGACATCCTCTTCTACGTATTCATACTGCACACCCTTCAGTTTCAGAGCCCATATTACTCTGTAACTGTATGGGCTAGGAAAGGCTCCAAGGAGCTTCACCTCTTCCATGCTAATAATATCAATATGGAGGGCCTTCTACAGTTCTGCTCACTCTTCCACCCTGCCATGCTTACTTTTATATTGATCAAATCTAGCTTTCTTTCTTAGGAACCATGTTTCTAGTTTGAACTATCCAACAGAGAAAAGTAATTGATAAAAAAAAGTCAAGTTGAAGGTAGCAGATGCACCCTGTCTCCACTCCTTGCAGCATATGCATGTTGATTGTTATTAAGATATGCTTCAGATCCAGATCCCCAGAAGAAAACATTTAAACAAGTTCTTTTGGGAGGAAGTCTATGGCCTGGTTGTTGATTCTCACTCTTCCATTTCATATGCAAAATCTTTTGACTTAATGCAAATTGTTGGCCCACTTCCCAGGTCTCTTTCATGGAGAGAGAGAGAGAGATTAAATATAATCAAGGTTAATTTAGAAAAATAAGATGCCTGAACTTATTTTAATGAGAGCAATAAATCAATCTCGATCTAATCACATCTTAATCCACATTATTATAATCTTAGTTTGTTTCTATCTAGTTTATGATGATGGAATAATAGAATTTATTAAGATTACATGTCATGCACACAACAGTTACCATGGTTTTCTAACTGCCATTCACCCGGATGGTCGGACCGTTTAGCATGTGAACCATTCAGGCAATTAATTTCGTTTTACCCCAAATCCAGTCAGCGGTTGAATCATCGATTCATTGACCAGTTCAATGATTTTTTAACGCACTGGCCGTTTTTTAAAACCATGACAATTACCTAGATCAATGTACGTATTTTAATATTTTGATAGAGTCGTCCACATGTCAATTTTGGATCCAAACGTTGTTGCACGTAGAACAGATTTGAGATAATCTTAAGCTTTACATGTTAAATTTTGAAAATATAAACTACGTGTCCCGAGTTTGAATTGCCTCTAACCATTGGTTGCAGCCATCTCCTTCTGTAATCACCACCTCCAATTTATCAAATTTGGGGCTATCCAATAAGATAAAAGGATAATGAATACAAATTGCCAGTAACCATGCATGGTTGCAGCAAACATCTCTTGTTTCACTTCTCGTCTTTCCTTCTGTGCTCCATTCTTGCACATTCACCAGCTTTGATTTATTGGTTCACAGCTAGACCCAAACACCCTTATTTTCTTCTTCTTTCTTTCCCTCCCCTTTGCCCTTTCCTCCAAACCCAACCTTCCTCCAACCCCCTTCTTTCTTCTGTTGAAGATTGTTTGGGGTCGTTATCCAAACCCCACGACTTTCTCACCCCTTGGTTATTTCTTCTAGAGATTGAAGATAACTCATCGCCCAAATGGAAGGAGAAGCCGCTAGATTTCTGCATGCCTGTTGTAAAAATAATAATGAGAAGGGAGAATGGAACTTATTGTTTCAGCGTTTAAAAGATTAATAATGAAAATATTGACAATGAACTGAAGATTACAGATTGAAACGGGCTGAGTCATGTAACTTGGTCATTCTCTTTAAAATTGCATTTAACCCCTACAGTGTAGCTGGAAGATGCTCAGATATATTTGACAAACAAAGGACAAAAAAAAGTTTTGTGTGTTATATTCTATTGTGTACCACCGGGTTAATCAACACTCTATTTATAGAGTGCTCTTAATCACCTGAATGGACATAGAGTTGTCCTTATAGAGAGATATGTCTCTCTAGAATAGTGTGCAAGGCACGTGTTCGAAGAAACACAAAGCTAAAAATGAAAATTCACAAAAAATGAATGTTTAAAATAAAAATAAAAGTCAAACAGTTAAAATAATTAAGAAACCAAATGGTTAAATCATAAAATGAGATATGGTATAGTGCACATACACATCCACACCCTGACCCAACCCAACCCAACTCGGCCTGGCTTGGTGTGTGCACATGTGAAAAGAACCCCTAACCCCCCCACAAGCATGTGAATGGTGTATAGTGTTTTTCCTTCTATGGATCCCTTGCCCATAAAGATACCAAGTCTAGTAATATACTCTAAGTCCACCTCTTTTTCTAAGCAATGTGGGACAAAAGGTCTTCAAATGCTTTCAAGAGGTTACAAGAAGACAAAAATCAAAAGCCAAAAAAAGACAAAGACAAAACAAAAAGGGAGGGAGTTCAGATTCTTGTAATTTAAATCTTTCCTCCAAAACAAGAATCCAACAATCCCCACAAGATTCAAAATACAAGAATAATCTGAGCATCTAGGTAAGAGAAGTATTCATGTTGATGTCTTTTGGACTTCAATCAACATTTAGATATGATAGATTATGTTGTAGAGTATGCGTAGAGTCAAATTCCTCCAATCTTTCCTTTTTGTTGTAATTAGCTAATCTACTAATAACCAACATAATCCATCAATTCCTTACTCTTTTGTTTTGGAACATTTTGGCTTTGTTCCCCTCTTGGAATCATGAGTGTTTTAGAGAGTCAACCCTTAGAGCTCTTATATAAGCGGTCACACTGCAAGGTGCCAACCACCTAGTAGGTAAGGTCTCCTACTAGTCATAGCGGAGACTTGGGATCGAATCCCGCCTGCACTTGGGTTGGGGATAGGCTACCCCCCATTGTGTAGCCTTTTGGAAGATATAAAAAAACATACAAGTGGCTATACTTCACACTCACTTAGGTCGGTTACTTAGAGTGCACTACAACACACCTTTTGTATGAATCAAAATAATAGTGCTTTCTCAAGTCATCTGGTGACTCATTTTACCCATTAAACCTAATTTTAGGGATCTCTTTTCACATAGGTTGGATGTCCATCGCCAAAGACTTATATAACGGGCTTCAACACCATTCCTACTGATGCCTCATAAACCACTTTGGAAGCTTGTGGTTTGGTTAACGAATCTGCATGTTTCTTTTTAGACCTTACAAAGTCCAGAGCAATTGTTCCTTCACTGAGGTATTGTCTTACCAAATTGTGTATTAAGAACATGTGCCTTCTTTTACCATTTCTAAGTTATATTCTTAGCTCTAGATATTGTTGCTTGACTATCACAATGGAGAGATATAGATGGAATCAGTTGTGACGAAAGTGGTATATCTACTAGTAAATTCCTTAGTGACTCTGCCTCGATCCCTACCAATTTTAACGCAATAAACTCATCCTCCATTGTTAAACTTGTATTACAGGATTGCTCAACTCCCTAGGATAAAGACATATCATAGATTTGAATCTAAAATCCAATTTGCATTAGTAAAGCATTCTAAAATAGGAGAAAAACTTGAATAATGCAAACAATAATTCATGGTGCCCTTTAGATTTTTTAACAGTCTTTCCAAAGCTTTCTACTATTCATATATGAGGTTACGAGTATGCTAACTTAGTTTTCTAATAGCTATTATTATATCAAGTCTTGTGCAGTTCATTAGGTAAGATTTAGATCCAACTACACTTACTCTTTTTGTGAAACAGGTTCTACATTCTTTTTTAAGTGAATACTACAATCAAGTAGTGTCTTGATTAGTTTATAATAATAATGTCCAAATTTTCTAAGTATATTTTCTACATAATGGGATTGTGAAAGGATAATGTTTTCTTGTTGTTTGTAGATGTTAATTACTAATAGTACATTAGGTTCACCCATGTCTTTAGTGTCAAATTTGGACATTAAATATTGTTTTGTTTCTTTTACTATATCAAGACTTGTTCCTTTATCAACATATCATCAATATGCAATCAAATAATGACTCATTTATCATATACAAACTTGCTATAGACATATCTATCGGAATCATTTCAAACATACCCACCTGTCATTAATACATTATCAAGCTTTTCATGTCATTGTTTGGGAGCTTGTTTTAAGCCATATAAAGACTTAATTAGTTTACACACCATGTTCTCTTGTCTTGGTACTATAAAGCTTTCAGGTTGCTTAATGTAAATTTCTCCTTTCAATTCCCCATTTAAGAAAGTTGATTTTTCATCTATTTTGTGAACTACAAGTTGATATATAGATTTTATAGCAAATAAAACTCTAATTATAGTTAATCTTGCAATAAGGAAATATTTATCAAAGAAATCTATATATTTTTTTTATCTTTAACCTTAGCAACTAATCTGACCTTAAATTTATCTATTGTACCATCTAGCTTTAATTTCTTCTTAAACATCCATTTATAGTCTAGTGCCTTAATTCCAAGTGGAAGATCCACAAATTCCCAATCTTGATTAATGATAAGTATCATGGCTTCTTTACAAAATACTACATGAGGGGAGGTTACTACTTCTTCATAAGTTAGTGGGTCTTTGTCTACAAAAAATGTGAATATTTCAACACCCAAGTTTGTTTTTCTTTTTTGTCTTTTACTTCTCCTTAAATATGGTTTTTGATTATTAGGTTCAAGGTTTTCTAGATTAAGTAAAGTACTAACTTTTTGAACATTTAGTTCTTGGTCTTGGTTTTTGGTTTATACTTGGGGTGGCTCCCTATTTATTGCTTCTTTTTTCAATAGAAAAATATGCTCAAAGAATTCTACATATCAAGACTCGATTATTGTATTGTAGTTTACAATATTTTTTATTGTTTTAATTACAATAAATCTATAGGTTGCACTGTTTTGTGCATATCCAATAAATACACAATCACATATTTTAAGTCGCATTTTCTTTCTTTTAGGTTCAGGTATTCCAACCTTTGATAAACAACCCCAAACTTTTATTGATTTTCTGTTATGCCAAAGATCAAATGAAATTTGCCCTTTCTTCTTAATAGGTATTCTACTATATAGGTGACAAGTTGTTAGGATTGTTTCCTTCCAGAATTTCCTGAACTAATTAACATAGCATTCGCCATTTCTTTTAGAGTTTTATTAAGTCTTATTGCAATTCCATTTTATTTGGTTTGGTAAGGGGTTGTAGTTTTATATATAATTTCATTTTCTTTACATAATTTTTTGATTGTTTCTCCATCATATTTAGCCCCTTGATCAGTTCTAAGTTTTTTTTTATTATTTTCTATCCTAACTGATTTTCTACTTTAGTTTTATATGTTATGAAAGTTTGTTTAGCCCCATCTTTTGATCTAAGACAATTTTTGCATATCTAGTGTAGTCATCTATAAATGTTATATAATATCTTTTTCCTCCTCTAACTTCATGAAATTTAAGATCCCCTCAAATCACTGTGTATAAGTTACAGTAGTTCAAATTCTCTTTTTACACTTTTATGTGGTTTTTTAGTGAATTTTTCTTCAACACACACTTAGCATTTCTCACTTGTAAATTCTATAGGAACATTGAAAACGCCTAATTTGCTTACCATTTTATATAAGGAACACTTTGATGTCTTTGTTTAACATGCCAAATATCAAAGGATTCAACCATATAAGCAAAAGAAGAAGCATTATTATTCATAATAATATAAAAAATATTTAGTAAAAATAGTCCACCAACATTGAGGAGTGCACCTAACAACAAGTTTCATCTTATTTCTGGCACATGCAGCATGCCATTCATTTAGAGTTGCCGATGACCTTCAAAGTCTTGTGAGTTTCCCATGAAGACTTGTTCCCCTACGGTCAAAGTTGCATACTCATAAAAGGAGCCACGATCCCCACATATGTGTTTAGTAGCACCAATGTGCAGTACACACTCCTTCAGTTTCTCAACCAGGTTTGCCTCGATTATCAATTTACCATGGCTGCAATAATATTTGCCTCAATCAAATTGACCTTTGGTTTCCCAAAGTCCTTTCAATGATGACATTCATTCTTATAGTGCCTAGGTTTGCCACAACAAACCAGTGTTTCGCAACAACATAACGAGTTAATTCCTCTATGTTTATTGGGTTCAATTCAATCAAAGCAAAGGCTACCCCTAATTGCTCTAAGGCAAAGAAAAAGCATTGTCTCTAATGCTTGTAATTGGTTCCATTGAAAGGTTCAATCTTGGAGAAGACATGAACAAGCACATGCATGCCCCAACTCAACCTGACCTAGCTCGACATGCACATGTGAAAAGAACCCCCAACCCTCCATAAGCATGTGAATGGTGTATAGTGTTTTTTCTTCTATGAGTCCCTACTGACAAAGATAAAAAGTCTAGTCATATAATCAAATCCACCACTTATCTCAAGCAATGTGGGACAAGAGGTCTTCACATACTTTCAAGAGATTACAAGAAAACAAAAACCAAAAGCAAAAAAAAGACAAAGTAAAAAAAAAGGGAGGAAGCTTAGATTCTTATAATTTGAATTTTCCCTCCAAAACAAGAATCCAATAATGCCCTATAATGTGAGAGGTGAAGCTATCAATTGCAGTGTTGTCTAAATCTTAACCGTCCTATGAATATGGATGCTGAATGGAATTTCCATACTCAACCATTGAAACCACTACATGAGAATATTTACTAGTTCATCTCTCTCTCTCATATATATATATATATGTTGGTTGAGTGTGTCATCTCCGAATAACAACTACAGGAGATGTTCCGAGTGCACACCAAGATGTGCATGTGAGGCGCCTACGGGGCGTGCTCTGTGGGGTGCAGATGCGATCTCTCCACCAACCAGACAAACTTGTTTTTACATTTTAACTTCTTTTTGTTATTTTAGTTTAAAAAACAATGTCATTTTTTTATTATTAAATCATGGACTGCCTGAGTCAAATGGTTCAGCCGTTTGCTGACTGAGTCAACGATTTAAAAGAATTTGGGATAAATAGAACTGGATAGATGAGCGCTTTCCAGGTTGAGCAGTTTGAGCCCCCTGGATATGGTTCAAACCATGTGATTTCAACTAGGACACCTGAGGTGCAGGAGATTAATTCAACCACAACACAATCTGATCACCTTCTTATGAAAGAACAATCCTTTTGGTGCAAGAAGTGATGAAGATCTGGCTCATTTTTATGAGCCAAATGAGCAAACACACCACACCAGGCTGAGAATAGTGATAGTTAATTTTATTGGGATTTTAGAGCATTCATCTCCCTTCCACGCTTATAATAAGCCAACATCTTGTCACAATCTGGGAGGTTCTCTTTGATCACACGGGCTTCTTTAAAATTCTTCATCCATGCTTGCAGGCGAGGGAAGGTATGAGCTTCTATCAATATCTCCACGCTTGTAACCTCTTCCATGACTCCCATCCAGTGAGCAATCCATCCGAATTCAATATCGGCCAATCCGATCGTGTCACCGCCGAAGAACTTCTCACCAAGGCCATGATCTTCTATGTTCTTGAACACTTCAAGGGCCTCTTTGATTGCCTTCTCCTGTTGCTCCCCAACAGTCCGGTAGGCTTCAAAAAAAGTGGGTAACTACATGACCACAGATATACTCCAGTCTCCACAGCTAGAAGAACAATATGTAGGAATTGAATTAAACTCATTTTAGATCATTTCTTAATGCATTTAATTTGTAAATGAATATTACCTTATCTTCTCCAAATTTAGTCCAAAACCGAGCTCTAGCTCTCTCATAAGGATCTTTCGGAAGAAGTGGATTGTCTGGCCATGTCTCCTCGATGTATTCGACAATGACAATGGACTCTGCAATTGGTTTTCCACCATGAACAAGAACTGGTATCTTCTTATGCACTGAGTTATACTGTAAGAGCAAATCACTCTTGTTTGAGAGATATGCATATGGTACACCCTTCAGTTTTAGAGCCCATATCACTCTGTAAAGAAAAGGGCTTGTGTAACTCCCAAGGTTTCGTTTGGATGCGGTGTAAATGCAAAAGTACACCGATATATTTGGAAAAATGGCCCACCAGGTCAGCGCAAAAGATGAACCAGTCATGTTTTAGTTTTACACTGATGTTTGTTTGGAAGATCAGTATAAATTACGAGGGTAATTTCTAGTTGTGTTTGGCATTAATATGAGTGTAAAACTACACACATAATTGATAACGGTTGTTGGTGTCAATTTCAACATCAAAACACACGTGCAAACATCTCATGAGGTTGCTCACCCTTGACAATATGGGCCTAGGCCCAACAATCACTCGCCACTACACCAGGCACATTAACACATGTAAGATAAGAAACACATTTCTTGTACTCAATCAAGCTTTATTATAATAGAAAATTACAGGGAAATTTTTAACAGCACTGCCTAAAAAGAAGAATAACACTAGCCAAAGACAATTAACCATCTATTCTGAAATCAAAAGTAGCTGTCTTGCTGAGCTCTTTTCCCAAACATATTTTTAACTATCTGCTCTACCTCTAAGCTCCAAGAAATCTCAGATCTAAGAAAAACAAATATATTTTGGGTTGTCTTTAGATCTGAAATGAGTTGACATCATTCCCTCAGATCTGAAGTACAACGTCTACATCTGGCTCAGTGTGTACCTTTTTCTTGTTCGTTGCGAGATGGGAACGATGAGATGCCTGGGAGCATCCTGTGTTCTGCGTTGGAACCTGTCACAAGGAGAACAGACAGTGAGAAGAAGAAGAAGAAGAAGAAGAAGAGAAACCTGTCATAAGGAGAACAAACAGTGAGAGAGAAGAAGAAGAAGGTAGAGAGGGGAAGGGAGAGGGAGAGAAAGAGGGAGTGGAAACGAAACTCGACGGTGAAGTAAACTTGACAGTGCCAGAGGAGGAAGAGCTGTTGCTTTTACATCGAGGTTACTTCGGGTCGAGTTTTACATCGAAAAAATCGTATTTTATACATCAATTATCGAAGTAAAAGGTCTAAGGTGAGATTTTACACCGATATTCGTTGAACTTTTACACCCCATCTAAGGTAAGGCTGAAAAACTGGACCGCATCCAAACGGTCGCAAAACTGAATCAGAGTGTAAAAATACAGTGAACCGGGTTTTACACCGCATCCAAACAGCTTCCATGCTAAGATGGATATGCAGAAGTCTCTACCTCCTGGATATTATTTATTTTGATCGACATGTAGTCTTCTTGCGTGGGCAAGAAGCCAATGGTAAGGTATCGACTGGAAATTACTTGATTAAGGATATCTAATGGAATTACAAGCCCAAGATCAATAGACCAGTAGAAAGTGATTCAGGGATTTGACTCCACAGTCCTTTCCATAAAGCTAGATATTGTAAAGAGGTTTTGTAGAAGCCAATTGGAGATTGGAATCTTCATCTTGATGATCAAGTGGCTTATGCACGGGTTCTGTGTGTGGTTGCAGACTTGGATGGAGCCTGTCAAGTTCATAAAGATTAATTGGAGGGCTGTTTTTATTTTTGTTCCAAGGCTGCTTCAATGGGTGGCCAGGCTTCAAACACTGCAACCTTCAAATTGAGCCTCTCTAAGTCGTCCAATTCACAGAAAAAGATGACACCCAGTAATAATTTTAAAATAGTCATGAACATGGGAATCAAAGTTTGTTTGAACTTTTTTTTTTCTCTTTTTTAGAATAATTAACGAGATGCTTAGATCACCTTAATTCAAGGAGATTATATTAATGAATAATAATCTAATAAAATCCATGTTTTTATTAATTTGTTCTTAGTTTATACACGTATGGATTCATTATGGAAGCATAGATACGCCACCAGTGATGAGAGTGGACCACTCTTACATAATATATTATTTATTTATTTATTATTACAATTTTTTTTATTCAATGAGCACTAGCAATGCAATTTGGGTCGGGTTGGGTCAGGTCGGGTTATAAATTTATTAGCCCTAAATCAAGCCTGATGTAGTTGAAATTCTTCAGATCGAATAACCCGACTTGTAACCTTAGCACTCTGAACAAAAACATGGTCATCAGTATGTTGACACCTATTTCTTATTAAATACCTCTGGGGCGCAAAATCACTCTCAATCTCCTACCCATAAACTCTTTCCACATTCCTACACATTAGACACTACCACCATGTATTGGGAACATCTCCTTATGAATGACAAGGAAAATATTGTCAATCTGATCGGCTGTAGTGTCCTGTAGGTAGGAGATCCGAAATCAAGAAAAATGGTTATGTATTTCCCAATTTGCTATAACTGAATATGCCTACCGGCCAGATCTGGTCACAATGAGTAAACTCAATTGATTCAAACAGAACTCGATGTGTATTGTATATTGTTCAAGACTACTTATAAAGAGATTACAAGAGATAAGCCCAATAGCCTGTTGCAAGAGAACTCAGTGTGTGAAGATATCAGTAGGGGTGAGCAAAAAATTCCGAAAAACCGAATCGACCGAAACCGAACCGAAAAATCGGTTAATCAAACCAGTCGGTTCGATTTTGGTTTGGTGTTTTTAAAAAACTGAAGGTATTAGTTCAGTTTCGGTTAACCAATTTAAAAAATCGACGGTTAACCAAATCGATCGGTATACTTTTTTTCTATGTATTTATGTATATTTTATATATTATAAATTAATAAATACGCATTATATATATAAATATATATTTATAACATATTATATATTATTTAAAATATAATATTTTATATATATTTATAATTTTTTATTATATTTATATATATTTTTATAATAAATACTAAAGTCAAAAAAACCAAAAAACCGATAAACCAAACCGGTCAACCGGTTAACCGACTGGTTTTGGTTCGATTCAGGTTACCGGTTTTCCAAAAACCGGTACTACCAGTTCAATTCACAGAAAAGGCCCACGGTTCAGTTACCCAAACCGTGAGCACCCCTAGATATCAGCAGCTTGGTTAACAGTGGTGAGAAAACTGATTTCAAGGAGGTGATATTGCATTTTGTCTTGAACAAAATGAATCTCCCGATCAAAATGAAAAGTCAAGTTCAACCTGTTTATTTTTAGAATTAGGGGTGGGTGTTCGGTTTATTCGGTTAAAACTCAAACCAAATAAATCGAATCTTTTAAAATTGAATTAAAAAAAAATAAAAAATAAAAACCAAAGCCAAAACTGAATTATAAAAAAACCAAAATAATCGAAACCAAAATTTTAGGTTATTTAAGTTAAAACCGAAGTTTAATAATGGATATACAATATATAATATTATATATTATATATTATAATACATATTAGGAAATTTCATTATATTATATATTAATATATAAATAATATAATATATTATACATTATATATTGAAAGTTGGATTACTTCAGTTTATTCAGTTAACTGAATTTCTGATTCTAAAAACAGAAACCAAAATTTTAATTTTCTTTTTTCGTTTTAACCGAATTCTGCTCACCCCTATCTAGAATGGTGAATGGAATTGGTGGCCAGATATATTGACCAAAATTTACCGCACCACAAGACTAGAGAGAAAGCAGAGGATGCTTGGAGAATGAACTATGGGAATTAACACTTCATAAATATAAAAATTAACGAGAATGAATTATGTATGGATCCTTTTAGAGAAAAAGTCCAAAAGGCCCATTTATTTAATATACCTAAGATCTGTTTGAGTAATATGCACACTGTAGTATAGAATAGGTATTAGTAAATACATGAAACCACAGGGGTGTATAAGTAAATGATTCTGATTTTAATTGATCAACCGTATTCCAAGAAGTGAGAACATCCTTCTAAACCAAAAAATAAAAATAAAAAATAAAATAAAAGGGCTAAGGTTGACCTCATCCTGACTTAACTCAGCCCAAATGCCTAACTTGTAATCCTGAACCCTGGTTTTATTAGATTAATCACCATTGTTCAGCCCTAATCAAAACAATTAAGGGGCGTTTGGGACCATTGCATTTTTTTCAAAAATGTCATTGTCTGTGGTTTTTGAGAAAACATTTTTCATGGTGTTGTTTGGTTCTATTGCTATTTTCTGAGAAAATGGCACTACGTAGGAGCCGCACCAAAATGGCGCTTTATAAGATGAACAGGTATTTGAAAAAATGGCAAAACATTTTTTTTACTAATTTTTTAAGAAAATGGCTAACCAAACAGCATATGCAGATGCATTTTTTGCCATTTTCTCAAAATCTGATGTCTCTTACATGGCACTATTTTCTCAAAAAACGGCAATGGTCTCAAACACCACCTAAAACAGTAAGAAACCAGGAGTTGAAAAGCTAGCCTAGAGGATTGATTATTAAAACAGTGAGAAACCGGGAGTGGCCAATCAAAATTTGCCATGTAACCAGGAATTCAAGATAGTTAACTTTGGTTGTTGAGGGCCAACAGCCTAATAAGCTGTTGAGAGCGTGTTTAGGCTGGACACGTTCACCAATTCACGCCCATGTGTATGTTTATGGTTAAAAAATAAATAGGGTTCAATTACTATATTACCCCACTCTATGGTAACGTGGCATTCCAAAAAATGTTCTCACCAGTATAGGCTGCCAGCCCCCAACAGCCAAAGTTTTTCCGGAATTCAAATGGTCTCCCCACTGAACGCATCCCACATGCATCCTATACACACATCTCCTGTGCATTTGGAATATTTCCCGTATTTGTCATGAAAATGTCTATAGAAAATATTTGACTATTGTTATAGACAATATTTAGCTTCTGTTTGGCATCGTTGCTGTTGCTCAAGAAAACGGTATTACATCAGTGCTATGTCGGAAAAAACAGTGCTTCGGGAAACGGGCATTTATTTGGAACTGTTTTTTCAGAAAAGATGGTGCTCCATGCCATGCCTTGAAAATCAGGAAGGCATGGCTTGGAGCAACGCCAAATATGGCATTTCTTGGAGCTGTAGCTCGTTGCTGCCAACATGAACGTCAGGTGGCAGTGAGATGGCACTGGATAATGGGTACCAGTGCTGAAAACATTTCCTGGAGCATTAATATCAAACAGAAAATGTTGTTGTTKCTCCAGCAAACGTCCTACCTAGCAACAACGTTTCCAAACAAAAACAAGGCACCATTTTCCCATAAAAATGTGCTTTCAACCCACACATCGGCAGCACTATTTTCTGAAACGTTTTCTCAGAAAACGGTGTTGCATCTGCAGCATCAATGCCAAACATATACTTAGTTTTCCTTCTTACATGCGCTTTGTGCAAAATACCATCTAACAGATAGTGTTGGTGCCAAGTATTTCCGCCCAAACACTACTTTATTAATGATCCCCTCCCTCTAATTAACCAGTTTCAGTTTGTGGTCAATTTGATTAATTTCAGACCTTGGCTAAGCGCACAATCGAATCTCGCACCAGATGCATCCATGGAATTCATTATTCGAAGCCATAARCATTGACTACAGAGAAAATACATAGAACCCATATGACATAGTTATAGTAGTTAGCTAGGCAGATGCTAGAAGCATCTCCCTCTTGTGTTTGAGAAAGAGAAACAGCTTCTCACGATCCGGCAGGTTTTCTTTGATGACAGCAACTTCCTTTAAATTGTGAATCCATGAATGCAAGCGTGGAAAAGTATGAGCTTCCACCAACTTCACGTCTAGGACATCTTCCATCACTACCAACCAGTGAGCAATCCCTCCATAGGCCAAGTCAACTAATCCAATGGTGTCACCACCAAAAAATTTCTTTTCTCCAAGGCAATGCTCTTCTATGGTTCTCAGCATTTCCAAGCTTTCTTTCTTGGCCTTATCTTGTTCTTCACCACAAGTGCTGAAGAGTGACCAGATACATGGGCCCTATATATACAAAGAATATAAATTAATCTGACTATTTGTCAAAGATATGCATTACACATCATTTAGAATAAGATCGAACGTCGATTCGAGTGTGAGAGCGGCCACTTTTTACAAAAAATGCTAAAAGCTATATTGGGCCATACATATCCAGTCTACCCCTTCCAAGACCCCAATTAATAGCTAGACCAATTAAATATTGAGTAATGCATGTGCAAATTGGATTTCCTACCAACTACTTTCTACATACATTCTACCTGTCATGAATTGCAGCCACACACCGCCATCTTGTATTGTGAGAAAGTGAGTAGAAAATCTGAATTYTCTATCCAAGACAATGATAGTATCCCTACCACATGCAGGCTAGGGATGCATTTGGGTGGGCTCGAGTTAATGGATTCAGTGTAAATTCTTCAAAATTGTGAGACATAAAATTACCTTATCCTCGGCAAATTTTGCCCAAAATCGAGCTACAGCTCTCTGGTGTGCATCTTTGGGTAGCAATGGATTCTCTGGCCATGTCTCATCGATGTATTCAAGGATAACCACGGACTCTGCAATTGGTTTTCCATCATGAACAAGCACAGGGATCTTCTTGTGAACTGGGTTATATTTCAAAAGCAAATCACTCTTGTTGGTGAGATCTTCTTCTATGTACTCATATTCTATACCCTTTAGTTTCAGAGCCCATATGACTCTGTAAAGAAATGGACTTGGCCAAGCTCCAAACAACTTCACTTCTCCCATTTTAAGAACTGAAGGTGGATATGGATGATCCTCCACTATCAGGTTGTTTTATAGTGATATATGGGGTTTTCTTGCTTGGGCTCCAAGCTTCTTTGTTTGAACTTGTTCAATATGTTCTTTGTTTAATGCTTAATAGTTTGATAAATTATCCATCAGCTGAGGAAGGACAACGTAATAAACTAAAGTGGCTAGCTCCAGGCCTCTATATAAATTTTATGGCAGAGGTTTTTCTCTGTTGAATATTGACTTTGGAAACAGTGGGTGGGGCAGGTGGGTTCTTACATCTTCTACACGTAAACTGTAATTTATGTAATTTATGGATTACCATTTTCTATGTACATATGCCTTATCTTTAACACATTATCCAAGGAACAACTATATGTATTTTTTTCGTTGAGGCCCACTATCTACATCAGATAAAATCAAGTCAACTCAGCCTTAATCCTGCCATTGTGTTTTATAAAGAGCTATGTTTTTTTATCAAATGATAAGTTTTGAATAACTCTTTTATCAGTTCAGGTCATATTTTAATTCCGTAGTCTTTCCATTGTTCTTTCATAGCCTTACACAAATCTTATCATATATATATAAAAGATTTTTTATTGAAAATTCTCAAATTATAAGAAATAAATGTAAGGAATCTTATATATCTTATTTGCCACTGGTTTTTAGAATAATGGTTTSATTGTTCAATTCTAACAACAAAAATTATGGAATCGTTCTGGCCATCGATTTTTGGATCGACAATTCAATCATCCAGTTCAAACGGACGACTCGTTCTGACAACAAAAATTAAAAAAAAGGCCAAAAACCATTGAACGGGTCAATGGGTCATTGACTGATTCAACAATTTTTGGCCAGGGACCGGAATTGGGGTAAAACAGAACCAGTTGTCTGGATGGTTCCCAATTAAAAAGAATAAAAATCGATGATTCGACTGTCCGGTTCGAACAGGCGACTTATTCTAACAACAAAAATTATAGGCAAAAAATTGAGTGTTTGAGGTTCATTAAGAAGTATAATACGTGTTATGTCATTCGAGCGTGTGACTCATACGACCTAAAAATGGAATTGTTCTAGCCACCGGTTTTTAGGTTGACAGTTCGACCGGATTGCTCGTTCTGACAACAAAAATTAAAAAATAAAAAAAAAAYGGCCAAAAACCATTGAACGGGTTGACGGACTGCCTGGGTCAGTGGGTCGTTGACCGATTCAACGATTTTTGGCCAGGGACTGGGATAGGGATAAAACGGAACTAGTTGTTTGGATGGTTCCCAATTAAAAAGAAAAATAAAAAATGGCCAAAAACCATTGAACGAGTCAACGGGTTGACAGCTCGACTGCCCAAGTCAATGGGTTGTTGACCGATTCAACGGTTTTTGTCCAGTGATAGGGATTGAGATAAAACGGAACCAGTTGCCTGAATGGTTCTCGGGCCAAAATGTCCATCCATCTGGGTCAACGGCGGTTCGAAAACCATGGTTTTTTATGCTTTTGGATTTTCACTATTCAAAGGTTTCTTCTACTATGGTCTTTATTCAAGCGTATGCGATATGTTCCTTTTTTTTTCATTTTCTGCTTTTGTTTTGTTTTTTTTTTTTTGTGTTTGGTTTTCTTCTTCAAGATCCTCCAAAACGGTCTAGGGTTTACCACCATTTTATTTCTTCCCTTTTGTTTTTTCTTTAGGTTTTCTTGTGCAATTTTTTTTATTTTCTTACAAGATGATCTGCTTTGTCTCTTTCTTTGATTGCATGTATGTTTAGCTCCATCTCAAAGCAAAAGTTTGGACTCAATTTTCTGCTTTTTCCTTGGTTTTTCTAGTGTGGTGGATTTACCGCCATCTTTTTCTATGTTTAAGGTCACTTTGGATTTATCTTTCAAGGTTTTGGAATCCCTTGCAATGTTCACCCTTCCCATGACTATGATTACAAAGTTATTTCGTCTAATTATTGACATCCAAAAAAAATGACCTGGAAATGGAACCGTTCTGGCTACCGGTTTCTAGGTTGATGGTTCGACCATCTGGTTCAAACGGATGGCCCGTTCTGACAACAAAAATTTAAAAATAAAAATAATTAAAAATAAAAAAATGGCCAAAAATCATTGAGCGGGTCGACGGTTCAACTGCCCGGGTCAACTGGTCGTTGATTGATTCAACGATTTTTGTTTAGGGACCAGGTTTAGGGTAAAACGGAACCAGTTGCTTGGACAGTTCTCAAGTTGAATGGTCCTACCATCCGAGTCAACTGGGAGTTCTCGATGTGAAACATATGACAGCTATGAAGTAGAACTCAGAACTATCACTGTATGATCATGTTCTTTTATATGAGATGCTTTGCTGAAGCAATATTTAAAAAACGAGCACATGATGATCTCTTTTAAGTCTTTGTATGAATTCAAGACTTGAGTACTTATAATTGCAAGTTTCTTATTAAGAAACTATTACCTTTTGTAATGTAGCAAATAGCAATGTTACAATTCCAATCCAGCCCTTGTGAAGCAGAGGCTCCTCTGCTAGTTAGAAATTTACATTAGGTAAATATTGTCTATAGGGGTGCTCACGGTACGGTTAACTGAACTATGGGGTATTTTTTCAAACCAAACCAATCTGATCAGTTTTTTAAATATCCAAACTGAAACCAAACCGATGCAACCGATTAACCGCGATTCGGTTTTTTGGTTTTTTTATGCACTTAAAATAAGAAAAACTAAAATTTTCGGTGACTCGGCGGTTTGCTGCAGTGCCGGATTTTTCATTAAGATGGTGGATTTTTCATTTCTTTTTTCATTCTTCATGAAGATGGTGGTTGTTGTCGGTGCCGGCACTGGTTGGTGCCGATGGTTGCTATCGGAAGTCTGGCRAAGATGTAGAGAGGAGAGGTGAGAGAGAGAGAAGAGAGACGGAAGTCTGTTCGATGGGCTTGGTGCTGCCGTTGGTGCTTGATTGCCGGCAAGGCAGAAACCGGCATTGCCGCTTGGTGCTGTGGCTGCTCCGTGCTAGTGGTTGGCACAGGCCGCACAGCCGTCTGGAATGGGGATTGGGAAATAAGAAGAGTAGAAGCTCTGCATCTGCATCCTCCCATCCCCGTACGACCTGGATCTGTAATCGTCCATGAATACACAGAAATACCCAAAGATTGGAGCGTTGAACTATGGAGGCGATACTAGGGAGAAGATAAGGAAGTCAAGGAAGAGAAAATTAGAAGAAAAAGAAGAGGTAGGGGTGGCTTCTCTATGAGTCTATGTATTGTTTCATTGGAGAATATGAAGAGTAAAGTAAACCGATGGGCAATGGAGAGTTGGAGACTGTCGTACTGCCCAACTTTCAATTCAAAGTTTCAAACTAGCAATGCCGAACTGTCAGACACTTAGACTGGTAGTTTGGCACTATCAAACTGGCAATGACGGCAATCTCTCAGAATGKCAAACTCTTTTAATCGAATTTCAAAAAAAAATATTATATTATATAAATATATATTATTAGATATATCGGTCGGTTCGGTTAACCACCAGTTTTTTTAAATGGTTAACCGAAACTAAAGCGACTGGTTCGATTAACTAATTTTTTGGTTCCGTTTCGATTGGTTTGGTTTTTCATTTTTTTTTCTCACCCCTAACTRCCTGCATTGCTAAGTTAGGGTGAAAAATCCTTACCCAGCCAAATAGTTAGAAGTAAATATTTAAAACGTGAGGATATTTGAAATGTCGCCCCAAAAAAGCAAAAAAAACACGGGCTTGGAGGGAGATCCTTGAGGTTAGGGACGCGTTAAGTTTGGTTTGAAGGAAAAGGTAGGGAAAGGAAGAAAAAGACGGGGAAACTTATACAAAGTTTGTAAAAGTTTCTTTACCTTTTCCATCCTTTCCCTACAATTTCCTTTAAACCAAACATAGCCAAAAGGATGACTAATGGAAAAAAGATCCGGGCCATTCCCATCCTCTGATCCCCTCAACAAAGGAGGAAGACAAATTGACTTGGAGAATAAACCCAAAAGGGATTTTTTCAATAAAATTGGCCTACATGAGAGATGGAAAATGATAGAGAGGGCAACAGTAGCCCTTTTGGGAAGATTTGGAAAATAATTTGCCCTCCAAGAATCAAATATTTTTTGTATATGGTTTTAAAAGGCAATTTGGTAACGAGGGCGAAACTTAAAACCTGGAGGGTCAGAACCGATGCAATGTGTCCCTTCTGTAATGAGGTCGAGGATGCCAATCACCTTTTCCTCCATTGTAGGGAGGTAAGCCAACTTTGGGACAATGTGACACTAACATACCCAAACCTAATGTGAATGAGGATATAAAGGACCGGTGGATATGTGTGATGAACTCGAGTAAAATCAATAAAGACTAATTGATAGCTGAAAATGTTTGCGTAATGTTGTGGAACATTGGAAAAATAGGAACACTAAAATTTTTARMAATGTAAGCTGTTTTTCCTTACAAAGAGCTACATTACTCTTTGTTTCGAGGGTAAACCTAAGTCACACTCTCGCAATACAACTAGGGGAGTGTTCTTTTTTGGGATTTTGAAAAGGRGGAAAGTTGGTCAATGGGATTTTGATTTTCATTGACCAAGAATCCTATATTCTTTTTTCAGATTTATATGGGGATCAAGGAAAATTTATTTTCCTAGTGATACTCATCTCCTAGGTGTGTAGATAACTTTTCCACCTAGGGGGAAAGTTGCCAACACTTGAATGGGACAAAAGTACCCTTTTTAATAATGGATTTTACGGCTAAAATGGCCATTGTCTTATTTATATGAGAAATAAAAGAACATGGGTAAATGCGCTTACCCGGGTAAGTGTTTCCCAGGAAAAACTTACCCAGGTAACCGCATTTACCTGGGTAAGTAACTTACCAAAAAGTGAACGGAGCCTAGGTGGGATCGGAGTTTCTAGGAAATCTAATATATCTAATATATATACTAAAGGAAGGTTTTCAAACTACAACTCCCATCATTCAAGTACGTGGCTTTTTCAAATCTAGACACATGGCATTTTCTGAGAARTTGTTGCT